GTTGTTCTTCATCAGTTTCCTGCTTAAAGGTTCATATTTGCTGTTCCATATGTATCTGAAGATATGTCTTTCCAAGTTGTTTGCTTCTTTTTTTTTGTCAGGTTGGTTATATATAGATTGTACATAATCTTGGCAGTGATACACTTATTAGCAACAATCACCCTTTCTGGTAGATATAACCATGTATTCTTCCAATCCTGTATGGCTTTTTTGATTTTATTTCTCATGTCATTAATGTTGTTCTTTTTGCTATCTTTGCCGTACCATACGCCGAGTATTTTAGCTGACTGTACGGACTCAATTTTGTTGCCGTCACATTTTCTTGACCCATAGATAATTATGAGCTTACTTTTATTATTATTTATCTTCATGCTTGTAATCTTACTGAATACTTCTATTAGTTGTATAGTCTTAGTTAGGGCTACATTGTCAGAGATAATGATGTTCACATCATCTGCATGTGCTATATATTTAACTTTTTTTAACATACCTGGGACATATATTTGTGGTATTAGTTTTTCTTCCATGATCAGCCTTAGGAGGGCTTCAATGTAGATAGAGAATAATATCATGGATGAGGGGCAGCCCTGTCTTACCCCTGCCCTACACTCAATCATGTCCGATTCCTCATTATTCACGCAGATTTTTGTTTTTAGTGACTGGTAGAGTTTGTTTATTACCATGATTTCTTCTTTATTTAGTCCAAATAGATCCATGATCTTCCATAGGATTGACCTGTTGACCGTGTCAAAGGCCTTTTCTACGTCTATGGATAGTATGGCTAATGGAGATTTTCTCTTAATGTAGACTTCTTGTAGTAGGTTCAGGAACATGGTGTTGTTTTGGATAGAGCGCCCTTTTATCCCTGCGCTTTGTGTGCCACCTATGTGATCCCTGAATAGATTGTCTAACCTGTTTGCTACAATGATGCTATATATCTTGTAATCAATGTTGAGGAGGGTGATTGGTCTGTAGTCACCCAAACCCCCATTCTTATTGCCTTTTTTGTTTATCAGTTTCATTTTACCGTGGCAGTAGGTGTTTTCGAAACAGGGTTCATTATACAGTATATAGAATAGGTCAACAAAATCTTCGCGGAAGGAGAAATATAACTCCGCAGGAATGTTATCAATGCCTGGAGCTTTGTTTAGATGTAACGCGTTTATAGCGTCTTCGATTTCCTTCTTGGTTATCTCTTTATTTATGATATTGTCTTCTTTTTTCTTTATTGGCTTAATTACATCTATTATTTTATCCCAATGGTGCAAGTTGGTGATAGGTGCTTTGTAGAGGTTTGTATAAAATTTGGCGAATTCTTTGATGATATCTGTTTTATCCTCTATAATTTTATTGTCGACAGTTATGTTTTCTATGTCATCCTTAGTACTTTCCTGCTTTCTTTTTTTAAATATTATCTTTTCTGCTTGGCTATGAATTCCTAGTTTATTCATCCTGTAACTGTTGTGGCTGTATTTTATGCTCTTTTCTAGTTCTTGGCTAATTTCTTTTTCAATTTTAGTGACTTGTTCTCTTTTATTGTCAATGATCTTATTGCTTAGATCTCTCTGAAGCTTTTTTAGTTTATTGAATTTTTCACCTTTGATTTTCTTCCATGTTGCTTTGCTGTGATTGTAAATTTGCTTTTTAATCTCTGTCCATTTTTCCCAGTTTATGTTGTTTTTGTTTGTGTCCAGAATTGATTTGATCTTTTTGCTGAATTGGGGATCATTTATTATTTCTTTAGTTATTTTAAAGCAGTTTTTTCTTTTTATATTGGTTTCTATCCTTATATTAAGATTAATTAGTTTGTGATCAGATAACTTTACACCATTGTTGGTTAGGTTATAGCTAGTAATGTTACTTATTTTTCCTACAGATTTGTTATAGTATATCCTGTCCAGGCGCTCTTTAACATTCCTTCCTTCCCAGGTGTAGTCCCGGTGATATGGGTGTGCAATCCTGTACGTATCTCTAAGGTCGAAGTTTTCAATGACTTTGATTAGTGATTGTCTGGACCCGTCGGACGAAAGTTGACCATTTTTATCCATTTGACTGGTAATACAGTTAAAATCACCTGCCACGATCAGTTCTCTTCTTCCCATTAAGTACTTGGGCAACTCATCAAAGACCTCTTTTCTTTTAGCCACATGAGGAGGGGCATATAAATTTACCACCCTGAGTAGTCTATTTCTTATATTAATGTCAATTGCGACAATTCTCCCTTCAGAGTCGGTTCTGAAATCATTTACTTTTAGCCTCTTGTTGACCATAGTAATAGTCCCCGTACTTTTCCTTGTTGCAAATGATAGGTAGATGTTGTACCCTGTGAAAAGTTTCCTAAGGTTTCTTAGATCCTGAAAATCAATCATATTTGTATCCTGTAACATCATGATGTCGGTACTGTCATTGAGGAGGAGATTTAATATATAAATCTGTTTGGTGTCACTTCGAAAGCCAGAAATGTTTACTGATTTAATGTTTATATTGATGTTATCGAATGTTAATGTCTTATTTGGGATTGTACCCTTTTACTCTTTCTTTGTTTCCTTGTTTCGACCTTAGCTATAGCTTTTCCTACTTCCTCAATTACTTCATTTTGTGATAGACTTGCATCTATCCCTATTGATAATATTTTATCTCTGAAGTTTATTATCTCCTTTTCTTCGTCTTCCATTTCGTCAATTTCTAGTCCATTTATCTCCTCCGTTTCTTTATTAGTCTGCTCTTTTTTTTCCTGAATTTCTAAAGTATCTTTCTCTACTCTTACTAAATAGGGCTGTTTATTTTCCTTTGTTTTTATAGGTCTCTTTTCTTCATTTTCAGGTATGTTAGTAGCTTTGCTTTCCATACTATCACTACCCTCCTCCTCTTCAATTATTGTTTCATTAACCTGTTCATTCTCTTTATTAGTTTCCTGATCTAATTCTTGTTCTAATGCTCTTTCTATACTCTTTTTTCGTTTTATTTCATTGTTTTGTTTTCTTACCCCTCTTTTAAGAATTTCAGAGAACGTTGGTTCCGGACAGTTGTCTTCTCTGCTGTGTATTTGCATACAGTTATAGCAATAGGGACAATCTTTTATTAAATGTTGTGCACTTTTGCATCTGTAACACAATTTGACTAAGCAGTCTTTGATTAGATGTTCTAAACTTCCACATCTCCTACACTGCTTTTTCATTCCCATATAATATAGCTCAACCTTACTACCTAGCAACTCTAGAGAGTTAGGTAACAGTTTCCTGGTTCTTATGATTACTCTATAAGTGCCCATTTTTACTTTAAAGTTGTTATGTGTTATCGTATTAACAAGTACCTTGACTACTTTCCCGTATGGGGCTAGTAGTTTTTCCACCAACAGCTTGTCAGCTTCCGGAGGGACATATTTAATAGTTATTGTCTTGCTATCCGCGTCTAAGCTTTCACAAAGGTATTGGAAATCTCCTACCTGAATGGAGTGTCCGATCATTTTCTCCTTATCCTCTATGGTATGAAATCCTACTTCCACTATGTAGAAACATAGTGGACAAACTTTTCCCGTTTGTCCTAGAATTTTTTCAAACGCATCGATGACATTGGGGATCGTCATTTCCTCCTTCGCACTGAACCAAATTGTTCTCAGTCTTGCATAACGTTTGCGGATGTCTTCCTCACTCAGGATCATTTGGCTGTTACTGTCCTCTCTTGTGGTGGCTTGATCATCCGTTTCAGGGAGAAATGGGTCGTCCGGGTCGTTACTCACAGATCCCTGCCGATTACAGTTTGGCGTTTCCGTAGGATCCACTTTTTCACTATTGTCCATAGAAAAAGTGGATGAGGTGGATGGGGGGATGTCCATTAAGCAGTCCCCCTTGGGTTTACCAGACCAGGCATCCATTGGGAGCTCTATGGCAATATCCAGACGATGGTGGCTCGAAGAGGGTGATGCAGCAGGGAAAACCGCCCCTGGGTATGGTCCCACAGCTTCCTAGCCGGTGGGGATGACTTACACAGAAAAGGCACTAATCCAATGGCACAGCACTGCACAAAATGAAAAAGTAGATCCACATGCCCTACCAAGATCAAATGGTAGCAGAAAAAAGTAGAAAAAGCAAGGTGAGGGGGAGGGGCCCGAAACGGGTCGAAAAGAGGGGGGACGAAAGGTGAAGGTGGTAGGGGGTGTAGGGTCACCCACACGAGGGGGATAGAAAAAGGGTGTCCTTAATCTAGTGAATACACGATGTCTTTCAATCGTACAGGCCGGAACAAAGACGGAAAAAGAAGGTGTTGAAGGCTAAAAAGAGCAGAAAGTGGGTTAAAATAGTACTTACCAGAACAGATACTACACATTTGATCTTAGTACAACTGGAAAAATATTTGGTACAACAATGATTTCCCTGATAATAATCAGAATAACTACATGATAAACTGGTTTTTTGCCCTTACTAAGAGGGTACTATGGAAAGCCAGATGTACCTCTTTATTCGACAACAAAAAATGGGATATACCTTTAATTGTGGATAAAATCAGGGAGGAGGCAATCAGGAAAATATACTTCGACATAGAATGCCTCACACATAATGACTTTAAAAAACTTTATCATGGCACACAAAATGTCGTTTGGAAAACGGTCAATGGGAAAATAGTCCTAAATGACCAATGGTAATACTGGCACCATCATATTGCTACCAGGTACTTGTATTAGGTATTGTCATGGTTCTACCTGTATTTGTAGGGTGCATCACAGTAACCCCGTTTTTTGTCATGTGTAAACTTTTTCTTATGTAGTTCATCTGCCGCGATGGTGTTTCTGATGTCGCTCCTGTCCTTGCCTCATGTTTCATGTATGTCTTTGTGCGGTCCACGGACCTTTCTCCATATTGCCACTATGTACATATATCTTTATAAAGGCAATATGGCCTTTGTTATTATAACCTAGTTTTTATACGATATTAACGATGTAAACGGCTCAAGTTATATTATTTGCACTGCCTGTTGCAGCATGTAGAATAATGATTGAATTAATAAACTTTATTTAAAAGTATCTGTTCTTATCAGCTTAATATCTGATACGGCTTCCATCGGAGGCCATGATATTAAACTGATTTTTGGAAGGCGGCGGAGTGCTCGGAGCTTGCTCCACCTCTGCCACGGGTTGACCCGGTATTGCAGTACCTCCGGGAATGGCCCACTCCCCTTTGGGGGATCTTAATTTAATCAAAAATAGATCTGTTAAAACTTTACATATTCAAATTATCCACTACCAATGATACTGTCTTCTCTAAAGTCTGTAATTTTGTCTTCCAGCATCATTTCTTAATTGTCATTCAACAACTGTGAAAGAAGTGCATTTTGAATATTGATTGGGTAAGTTGATATGTTTAATAACATTTATATATTATATATTGTTAATATATTACTTGAAAAAGGATATTTTAAAATTTTCATCATTTATTGGATTTTAAGTTTGATTCCTTTTACAGTATACATTAAATATAGTAATTTTGTCTTCTTTGTATCATGACAATTAAATATACATAATACAGAGATTAGATAGTTAATTTAAAAACTGTTGTATACTAAAAATAACTATTGGAAGCAATATTAAAAACAGTTAATTTTTAATGTTGTTTTTGATTAAACCAAAACAGCTAAAACTAAATACATTTTGTCACATTAAGAGGTTACACTAAAAAATCTTAAAATTTTAGTATGTTACAATTAGGCTAAAGTTCTTTGCTAAGAAAGTTCATTTTTAAAACGTTGATATAAAAATTACATGATATGATCAAATTTGAAATAATATATTTTTGATCAATGAAAATATTATAATTAATTTTATGTCCTAATCTACTAAATAACTTATGAAACAATAGAACAAATAGATGAATAATTTTAATANTTGTTCAATGTATTATACAAAATAAAAAAGTAAAAACAGTTTACTGTTAATATTCTTATTTCATTAAGAACAATACACTATGCAGCAATTACTAGTTTAGTTAGGCTTAACAATTAAGCTTTTTTTTAAAGACTTGTCTATTTCCTTTAAATCACCAAAGAAGAGTATTAGTTGAAAATTGTATATATTTTAACAGTTTGAGCTTTACCTTGAGGTATGTTGTTTTATTATTAATGTTATCACTTATTGCAATATATCAGTTTATGCATTAAACAAGTATTTTATTGTACATGTAGCCTAGGAATTATTAAATGAGCTGTTAATTTAATAAACTATTTGAAAAAGTTTTTATTAGATTATATCCTGAATCTGTTGATAAAAGTTTGAAGTGTTTGACATGCTAAACATTTATTTTATATTTAGAGAACCTGCACTTCAGGAAAAAGACAAATTTTTTTCACTCAGTAAAATAATAAAAAATATTTAACATAATTACAGCAGTTGTGATTATGTTTGATAAAGATAAAATATTAGAATAAGTAAAAGCAAAACTTTTGCTTTTACATTTGCTATCATTTATGTTAAATGTAATCTGGCATTATTAATTTGCTTATATAATAATATTTTAAAGCCTTTTAAAAAAGAGAGATTATTTTAAAGGTTGTAATATTTCCCTAACCATTTTTAATCAGTAAAGAAAATATCTAAGAATTTTAAAGATAATGCCATTAAACAGCCATCTGTCATGGTAACAAATCAGTTTTCTGAATGTGATAGAGCGAAACATACATTCAAGGTAGAAACTTATATAGTTTTCTCTTTGAAGTAGTTCCAACATTACAAAGTGTGTGTAAGAATGGAGATTTAAAATATATGAATATTTTTCATTCAAAATTACTTTTACACTTGAACTTCACATTCACATTTATGGATTGAAAATTACAAAAATTGGGATAAAATAAAAATTACAGTAAGAGCCCACTTAACATGGGGGGATGTGTTCCTACATGACAAAGCACTAAGCGAAACAGCGTTAAATGAGGTCATTTTAACATAGAGTAAATAGGGAAAGGGGAACATGTAATCAAAAATAAACAGATTTTACTTCAATTTTAGGTTATTTTATATTAATTTGCATAATAATATATGTTAAATAATACACAAACATATGCACACAGAAATGTAAAGTTCATTTTTTGTGACGAAGGTCTTGGCTTTTCTGAAATTCTTGTTTTTTGTGATAAAGTTGTGTAGTTTCATTTGTTGCATTTTTTTTTCTTTTCTTAAGCAAATATCAGTAGCAGAAGATGCATCCAAAATGCCTTGTTTTGCTTTTGCACTCTTTTCAAAATCTGGATCATTTGCTACAATTTGATCAATGATTTTGGTTATTACCAAACATTCAATAAGGAAATCTGTAGAGAGATTCTTTGGGTTCTTTGTTTTCCGAATCACTATTTTCCACTTCTACAGGAATTCCTTGTTCTGTCAGTTCTTGAAGGTGGTGGTTGGTGAGGCTCTCACAAGAAACTTGCAGTAACTGCTCAGTATCCTGCTCATCTACATCTAGTCCTGTATCAATTAGGTTGTCAATTTGGTCAACTTAACGATACAATGATAGGCTCTTCTCGTTGAGAATTCTTGGATACCTCTGGCCATAACTTCTTCCACACTCTGTTCATGCATTCATCAGTTAATTCTTGCCATGCAAAGTTGATATTGCCTATGGCGTTCATGATGTTATATTTTTCTAAAACTGTACCTAACAAACATAGATTTAAGGAAAGTATAGCGGTACGATGAATTTCCACCTTTTGCTGATTGGTTCATGTTTGGAAATAATCATATTATGTACAAATCAATGAAATGCTGTGATAATTTGAATCAGCGTAAATTTTGAGCTTTTTTTAGGCTTTGAACAGACTGCCAGAAGTTCTCGTCAGTGATAACAGAATGCAGTTCACCTCATATGAATTTCAAAGATTCTGTGCCCAACATGGATTTAAACACATCTTTTTGCCGCCCTATCATCCTCAATCCAACGGACAGACGGAACGATTCATAGACACACTGAAGCAAGCTCTCCTTAAGTTAAAAGGGAAGGGGAAATATACAATGCGCTTTGGTCATATTTCTGGAGACTTATCGGATAACTCCGAACTCGGCTCTACCGGACAGCAAATCTCCAGGCAACTCTTCTTTGGACGGAAGATCCGAACATCACTCGACCTATTATTGCTGCCAAAATATCCAACAGAGTGCGACATCAACATGGAGAGGCAATTTAACCGCAAACAGAGGGAGCCTGAGAACGAAATTTCACAACTAAGGAGCTTGTCTTCGCACAACACCCATGCTCTCAAAATTGGCAGCCGGAAACAATCAAATGCAAAACCAGAAACAACATACACAAGGTGGAGATGGATGACGGATCATCTTAGCGATTTCACACCAATCAGCTCTTACGGAAACAATCTTCTTGACCATAGCCCGAGAATGTTTCCCTCGCCGTCATCACAGAAGCCTTCTCCATCCTTTTACATCCTGCTCCGACTCCAGACTTAACACATCCGGTTGAGAGACCAGCCCAGCAGAACGATGAGTTCCCGCCATTCAAGAGACCATGCGCTGTTGAAGAAACGCCGCCTGAGATATTAACATCACAGCCTCTGTATTGATCAGCCCGTACTTGAATCCCAACAGGACAGCTTCAAATCAACTCTTATCGAAAAAACTATTATGTGGCATAAACAACCAATTTGGGTAGTTTTTTTCTTTCTTAAAAAGGGGAGGTGTTGGTTCGGTTGTTTTTTCACGTGTGAAAACCTAACAACTGGGGTTCAATCTGGAACCGATCAGGTTACACCTACATGTGGGTGCACGATTCGTTGATGCCTTTTGTTTGGGTCATTTAGACAAGCAGGACATGACCGGTGTCTAGTTTGACCATTAACTGTTTCTTTGTTTATATATTAAATGGCAATCTATGATTAGAGTTCTTTACACCCTAAGAACTTAACCGTTTCTAACTGATAATCAATTAATTATTGTCTTTGCTGATAAATCAGCACAAAGTTATAATGGATTAAAAATTCAAATTCAAAAATAAAACTTATCTACAGGGGCAGGGAGTACCAATGGGTAGCACCATGTCGTCAGTCCTCTGCGAGTTGGTACTCCGTAATCTAGAAAACAGTATCCTCCCTTCCTTACAACAAGATATATTGATATATGCAAGATATGTTGATGATGTCTTTATCTTGTGGAAGGATAACCGCAATATCAAGCATTTTATGGATCTGATAAACAGTAACCCGTATGGTTTAACCTTAAAATTGGAGCAATAAGGTGGTAGCAGCGTTAATTTCTTGGATCTGACTATAACATACATAAAAGGGGAAGTCCGAACCAATATTTATTGTAAATCAACATCTATCCCCATCATTATCCCTAAGAATTCGGCTGATCCGGAGCATATTAAAATGGCGGTATTTCGATCTTGGATAAGAAGAGCTCACACACATTGCTCAAACGTTTGCGATATGGTTAAGGAATTACAATATATACGAAGAACTGCCATACAGCATGGCTACGGGAGAAAAAGAATAGAGGCTCTCATTAAGAAAGTTAATAATCTTGCAAGTAGGCAAAAGCAAAATCCACCAAAAAGAAAAAGTGGTCCTCGATTATATACCCTTCCTTAAACCGATTGTCAAGAGGGTTTCCAAAAATAACAACTTACAAATAGTTTATCAACGTAATCCCACTATATACAGGATATTAAGGAATGACAAGGGGCATTATGAACGTAACTCCTTAACAGGAATATACTCAATACCGCTAAGAGACCATAGGTTCAACTCTAACTTAGTATATATAGGCGCAACTTTGAGGAATTTGAAAAAAAGAATCAATGAACATAAGCTTTTGGTGAACAAAACTGTTCACAGTACAGTCCATGCCACTTATGCTAAACAACAAGGCATTACTGTCTTCTGGGACCAAGCCTCTATAATAAAAGCTACCAGATCTAGACACGTGGTAAAATATCTCAAAAGCTGGAAATCCACAGGGCACAGAAGAACACGCAGTGTATCAACTACAGGGATGCCGACGGGCTTTCGTCTGCCTAGAAATCCTTTTGTGACGAATTGGCATAGATAAAAAAAAGGCTTAATCGGACTTAGGATGATCTTTGATAGATATTTTATTTATTTTATTATTATTTATTAAATACATGGAAATTTGTATATATCATTTTTGTTTATAACATGTTACCTTTTAATTTATTTACATAACAGTTCATTTGAAATTCATTTGTGTAATTTTTTCAAATTTCCCATTTCGAATTAGAGAAATAACTGATGATGAATGCTTAATGCATTTGAAAACGTTTTTATGTTATTAAAGAATTATGCTGGGTACTTGAATGGTTTTTATTTTTAATTTTATTGAATTCTCCAGT